GTAATCCTCCGGCATGAGTTGAGCTAGTTGGCTGGCTTGCAAGCCAACACTCCGGCTAACGGAAGTCTGAGAACCACTCTGACTGACTCTTGACGAAGTGGCCTGTGAAGAGGCATGCGACATGGAGGAGGTGGCCATGGTTGCACCTGTGCTAGCTGTGGTTCTAGACCTGGCGCTGGCCGAGGCGTCCCTCGCTCTCCTTGCTGGTGCCCTATCTCTAGCCTCTCTCCGTAGGCTCCTCTCGTCTCCTGGACCTAACTCTAGGAAAATCAAGGGTCGACTGAGAGCAGTTCTACAAGTGATTCTAGGGTCGTCCACTAACAACTCCTCCTCACTAGTGCTTGCATCACTCATGAGCTACAGTGTGTGTTATCTAAACTAGAATCCGCATTGAATCCTACCTCAGCATACACACAACCGAGTATGATATACAACTAATTCCGGTCGGCCAGGACAGAAACTGTTAGGTAGTTTAGTGTCAACTAATGTCAGATCCTACAGGGAACGTTAAATCTATTTTTAGATTACTCTAATACAGATTGCAATGCAGCAAGAAATATCATACTCTATCTGCAGCTGTCTGTCAGTTGTTAGTCAAGTCCGTAACAACTAAATAATCAAAAATAAAAATAATGTTCCCTGCAGAGATGTATGCTGAATGGCAATTTATCTAATTAATGCCATAGCGAACAATTGTCGGAATCCAACCCTTTCCCTGCATCCCTCTTGAGTAGTCGCTTAGTGTCAACGCCCTGAGCATCTGGTTGAGCAGCGTGTCTGAAGGTGTGCAATCCGGCCCACCCCTGTGCCCCAAGTCTACGCCGAACCTGCCAGCCCCTGCACTTCGTTTATCCTCGCATGCAACGAGCCTTACACCCGGTTTGATCTGGCTGATCAAGAGGCAGTTTTTGGACAGTCCCCACGGTCCTCAGGAATTATTTAACGTCGCAATCAGGACGACGATTACAGCTAGAGTCAACACCAAGCTCCCGCCAGAAATATTTAAAGACGGTCTGGAAAGCGTCTGTTCAAAGGGCTGGCATGCCCTGCATGACTTCTATTGCGCAGCAGCAGATCCAAGGACTTGTGGCAAAGCATGCGTGTACTAGTCCCAGCGGGTTGACATGGTGACAGTGACCCGAGTGCTTCGTCCAGGGCCCTTTTGAGGCTTCGCCCGTCTCCCACCAGCTTGCTGCCCAGGAAGAATGCCGACTCTCAAGGTTGAGCGCTCGCGACACCTCACATTGAGAGGACTCTCAAGACAGAACTCACTTCCTCACGGTAAGAAGTAATGAAGAGGGTAGATAAGGAAGAGAGCAACGTATCTCATAATGCTGCCCCCAACCACAGATTTCTCACCGGCAACCTGATGTGCATTTATGATGACCGGTCTTTGCCTCGGCACAACCAACAGCATAATGCAGTTCCACCTCGTCACTTGTGGCAAAGCACGCGTGTACTAGTCCCAGCGGGTTGGCATGGTGACCGTGACCCGAGTGCTTCGTCCAGGGCCCTTCAGAGGCTTCGCCCGTCTCCCACCAGCTTGCTGCCCAGGAAGAATATCGACTCTCAAGGTTGAGCCCTCGCGACACCTCACATTGAGAGGACTCTCAAGACAGAACTCACTTCCTCACAGTAAGAAGTAATGAAGAGGGTAGATAAGGAAGAGAGCAATGTACCTCATAATGCTGCCCCCAACCACATATTTCTCACCGGCAACCTGATGTGCATTTATGATGACGGGTCTTTGCCTCGGCACAACCAACAGCATAATGCAGTTCCACCTTGGCTTAAATGCCACATCAGCGAACCCTCATCATCCAGCGTACATCCCTAATGTCACCACATAGCTTCCTGGCGTGCCCACACGACCCTGGGCCGCCTCACATTCCATGCCCAAGCCTTATCACTGCCCCACACCTCATGCGAAGCACCGAACAGATATTGCGAAGAACCAATGAGTGCAGTTCAAACCAGCTCCGATACCAAATTGCAAGGAAATGAGCAATAGCGAGATGACAATGTCCAGCATGCACAATCACATTGAAGGCCAGATAGTATCACAGTGTCCAGAAAGCAGAAATGCACCAATATAACACCAATGAAGAATCGTAACACTGAAAACCAATGTCAATGAGAACTTGCTCTCGCCACCACCAACAT